CCAAAGCAATCTCGCAGAATGGGTTCATCGACATCTTCACGTTCTGGGTCTCCACGCCGCTCTGTGAAACAAAACGAAATGAAACTGTTCGATTAGAAAGACATGATTTTGAAATGAAATACGAACTGGGTTTGTGTTCGATTGGCCTTGCCTTATCGGATTTGACTCGGATTTTGACGGCGTAGTCGACGACCCGCTTTATCGCCACCATTATCTTCATGGTTTCTTTCTTCTGCTCGGTCTGCTTGCCAAGAATGGTGATTGGAATTGGATAATCCGGTGTGAGAAGAAGAGTGAGGAAAGAGAGTTGGAAACGGCATTGGCATTGCTGAGCTAGCAGCTACTACTAGTAGATAAAATGGTGCCCGCAACTTTCCTAGTATAATAAGCTCTCATTTTATATGTGACCAAATAAATAAATAAAAAGCTCTCATTTTGTATTTTCTTTTGTTTTCTTCTTCACTATTTGAATCCGAAGACAAATGGAAAATCGACACGTATTAATTTTATCTTTTGTCAAAAATTCACATGCATTAGAGCACTTCCACCAGTTAGCCCCTTGCCATGGCAAGGAGAGCCCTAGGGCGGGTACTATTCACGTGAATAGTGCCTGCCTTAGGGCAAAAAAAAAATTGTATTTCCAGCAATGTAAGGCTTGCCATGGCAAATACTATTCATTTTTTTGTTTTTTTCACAACTTTGTTTACTTAAACAATTAATGTGGATAATATTTTCGGATAAGATTTTTGGGTTCCTATGTATGAAAAATCATTTTCTCAATATTTTTAGCGGAGGTGCAATATTGACTAAGTATGAAAAATGGTTTTTTTTATTTGAATCCAAATGGGGGGTACTTCCTTATTTACATTGTAAACTTAAGTAAATGGAGTAATATAAAAATAAATAAAAGTAAAAGGACAAAGACATTTACTTAAATGTTGAAAATGGAAATAAGGTATAGAGAGAAAAAAAAAAATAAGTAATTTTTTGGTATTTTTTATTACAAAAATATTGGTTGTTGGTGTTAAAAGTGAAGAGTATTGGTTGTTATTTATAGAAAACAATTTCAGTATTTTTTGGGTATTTTTTTTACATTTTTTTCAATTTTTTTCTTTTTTTTTTATTGGGAACAAAGGGAGTGAAGTCATCGTGACATCATCTCAACCCGCAGGCAAGCATGCAGGCCGAACCCCACCTCGGGCCAGCCCAGGCTGCTGGCCCCCACCTCTTGCCCGGGCTCCATTTGGTTGCTGGAAACACCTACAGTACCCAAACCCCCTAGCCCGAGCCCAGCCTGCATTGCTGGAAATGCTCTTATAACAGCAAAAAATCCCGACCAAAAAAATATAATACAATAAAATATTTGCCATCATAAATACTACATGCTCAACTAATTAAGTGTAAAGAGGCAAGCTCACTGTCATGACCAACTGACCTAACTCACATATGCCCATAAATAATTTTGTAAAATTGAACTTGATGGTGTTTATGTGGCGCTCATGTTGCCCTATTTAATAAGAGGAATGCTAACAACCTTCTCTCTAACCTTCTCTTTTGGACTTTCTCACTTTTTGGCTTGACATGTGTCATTCTCTTTACACTTAAAACAATGTCATTAATATATTATACAAGCTAACTTTTGCTTTCCAAGTTTACCCTTATTAAATGTATTCAATTTATCCAAAAAAATTTCAAAACTTTCTTACCATCTTATTAAATTTTTTTTAACGTCAATTATTTTTTTAAAAGAAAATGTTTGCTTTTTAAAAAAAAAGAGGAAATGTCCTTTTTTTTATTAATAAAAAAAAGTCTAAACTTGGCGTTAAAAAAATGGACATTTCCTCTTTTTTTTTTTTTTTTAATGCATACATTTTCTTAAATAAAAAAAATTGACGTTAAAAAAAAATTGATAAGATAGTAAGAAAGTTGTAAATTTGTTTTGGATAAATTGAATACATTTAATAAGGGTAAACTTGGAAAGCAAAAGTTAGCTTGTATAATATATTAATGACATTGTTTTAAGTGTAAGGAGAATGACACATGTTAAGTAAAAGATGAAGAAGGTTCAAAGGAAAAGGCTAGAGAGAAGGTTACTAGCATTCCTCATTTAATAATTATGATGTAACTAGATATCTAAGGTCTAAACTTGTTACTTTTTATAGCTCATTCATGCGTGCGCCTGATCTTAAACATACTAAAACTACAATTTTTATTTTTATTTGTATTTTCCTTTCATGTTTCAAAACAATCTTATATTATTTTTCATCACTATAAATGTTAAATTTGTTTGTTGAAACGTTGCGAACATAAATATTTTAAAAAAATCAATATAAACGCAAGTGCGGAGTTGGGAATTTTCAATGGGGAGGGTAATCTTCTTTTCTATGATTGGGCTTTTTTTTAGGAGAATGCTAGGTTTACCACATTTTTATACCATATTGTATACCACCTCTGTAATTTAGCATTACCCTTTTTCCTAATACAAGCAATTGGGGGAGGGGGGTTTACACAAATATTCCATGGGTGTTTAGGGGTTTCAAAACCTCTGCCCACATGTATGAAAGTGGAAGAGCTCATCCAATTGAGTTATACCCTACAGGCAAGTTTAGTGTTATAGCATTCAATTTGGGTGCGCTACAAGATTTTATTTGAGTAAGTTACACTTCAAATAAGTAAAAATAGGTCAACGAAGTCTAGCCTAGTGGAACAGGGCCTCAATTTGCAAACCAGTGATATAAAGTTCGACCCCATAGCACATTGATAATCTGTGTGAGAAGAACTCATTCTTCCATTATGGCTTGCCCAAAAAAGGAAGTAAAAATAGAGTAATTGTAGCATGGTACTGAAGTATAGCCGCGTGATACAATTTACCAAAAGTTGCAGGTCGTGCCTAGCTCGAGCTCATGTCATTTCTTGAATGTTTCATGTTCGTTTTGTCGGCCTAAGCCCAAGCCATTTACTTCTGCTGTCGGCCTCGTCCATGTTGTGTTTGAGCCTGTATTGATCACATCTCTCTTTATAATTTCTAATCACAGACAAATGTAATGAAGCCCCACACATGCCTGATATTCACAGGCAATAGATCCAAAACCCATATACACAGAACATGGCTCTTAGGAAAGCGGTGTTGTTGTTGACCATCAATCTTTTTTGGTATAGAAAAGAAAAGGGGAGGGGAGGCTACCCATCTCAAGGTCTGGGTTTTTTTTTTTTTTTTTTTTTGGTTGAGAATTTACAGAGAGGGTATTAACTTCTTTTTAAGTTTTTATATATTACTCACCCAAAGGGATTGCCGATAGTGAGACTCAAACTTAAATTTGAATAGCAAAGAAAATGATTCTAACCAACTCAACCAACTCTCTTTAGTGACCATCAGTCTTTTCACGCACACAGTGCCTACTGTTTTATGATTCTATTATATTCTAACTCTACAGACACTAGTCTTTTTGTTTTTGTCAGCTGATGGAAAAGCTCTATTCTCAGTGAGAAACCAACTGTGGATTTCAGGGATGTGAACCCAAAATACAGCTTTATGAAACTTTTGTTTGGAGCGTATTCGAAGGCAGTGAGACGTCAAAATCTGTTCTTGACACCTTACCCAACCCAACCTTTTGCAACAGTCTTGCACATTAATTAGAGAACTATGCAGGATTTTGACATAAGATTTGACTTCTGTAGCAACTATTCATTGTCGAGAAAATTAGAATGCGCAGACTCAAAGGGGAAGAATAAAATAATTCATTCGGGATGAACTGGTTTTCTTTTTTGAGTAAATAATTGTAGTATTTGGCGCAGTCCATCCACTGAAAACTAAACTGTAGTATTTATTTATAGAGTCTGTCCGTGACTCAAATTGTGTGCCAGAAGACACAAACCACAAGTATATAAACATAGTTGTCAGAATAGTAATAGTAAGTAGCTAACTACTGTTCCTGCATATCAAATTGGACCAATCACAATAGCCCTCACTTGAATGAACTCTGTGGCTTTCCTTTTAGCTAAAGGAATTGACCCTTGCTTTGTAGAAAACTTCTCTATCACCTGTATGCATAGTGTTTATTTCCTGTTAATCATGTAATGAGAGATATCGACATATAATTATATCCGTCACGACTTACACTTACTTTCTCATTTATTTAACTTTGTTGTACCCATTATAAGTTGAGATTGAACTTTGGCAAAGCAAAAGTGAGATAAGACAATTATATACATTAGTTTCATTTGTCTCACATTACGTACCACTAATCTCGCCTCACTGAAGAGTTTCTCGTCACAAAAGTGCAGTATATTGATTTAGTGAATATTTTGACACAAACCTAATTTCAAAAAAAGAAATCACTAATCTCATTTTTGTGTATGATTGGAGATATCATTTGATTTCTAGGTAAGTAGGTTAATATTCCAGACTGGAAAATAGTTGGCATCATTGAGGGGAGAACCCCACCAAACCATACATATGAACAAATCATATATACCTCCCTTCTACCAGCATTAGCATTATTGATGATCACACATGAAGGCACTTAATTATATGATTGTTTCAAATTGAAGAGGACCCATATCTGCCAACTTAATCAAATGGAAAGGGACCTTCCCCCTTTTACACGCTTTGTAATCTTTGGATTCTGCTAGTTGGTCTACACAAAGGGGCCTCCTCCATGCTAAATTCTTTTTTTTTTTCTTTTAAAAATAATTTGATTCTTGTGGTTGGTCTGTCTTTCTCTGATAAGCAACAATGAAATTCACAATTATTCAACTCAATATAGGTGGGTGGGAAAAAGGATCATTTGAAAAAAGAATTGAAAAAAAAAAAGGAATAAAAAGTGGTAATTTCAGCAATGATGCCCAATCCCACCACATAAACCAAAAAGAAATTCCAGTAGAGCGCTATGGTTTCAAATTTCAATTGAATATGGCTATATGACATTAACAAATCCTTTAATCTCTCAATAATACATCTAAAATCTCTATCTCACAAAAAACACTAAAAACTTGCAAAATCCCAAGAAGAAAAAAATAAGGCAGACTGAAAGGAAAAAAAACTTGGCCTATGTCTCCAAATAAACAGGAAGAATTGCACTTCTAGATCCCCTACCATTTCCAAAAGAAAAGAAAGATCTTCTAACCCTACCACTACTACTACAACCTTCAATGGGACTCATCTCATTGACTTGCCTGTGCTGCTGCTGCTGCTGCTGCTGCTGCTGCACAGCCTCTTGAACTGCCAAATAGAGCTGCCTATCAGCTGAAGAGTCCATTGAGAAAGACCTCCTTATGGGTTGGATTGAGAACTGCTCATCTTTGCCTCTAATGTCAATACATTCATCCCCCATGCTTGTAACCTTGTTGTGAAACTTTCTTGCTAATTTCTTGGGCACACTTCTGTTTTCCAATTTCCTTGGTGAAGGGCTAATAGAAATCACTGATGCCTCCTCTGAATTCAGTCTTTCTTGCCTCCCAAGCATTGTTTGCTCCATCGAATTATCATAACTCAATTCGATCACCACGTAGTCTTCATCACCGCCACTTAGGCTACCTGCATATGGACTTGGATCTTGGGGTGAAGAGCTTGGAGCAACAATTCGGTCAAATGGAAACCGGGTTGTGGTCGAAATGCTTGTTCTGCAAAGTGGGCAATTGGCATTGCTTTGAAGCCAAACATCAATGCAATCAATGTGAAAAATGTGGCTGCAATTTGGTATGATCCTCAGCTTCTCATCTTCTTGGAACTCATTCAAGCAAACTGCACACTCACAAAAGCTTCCCTCTTCAAATCCTCTGTTCCTATCTTTCTTGAATTGCAACAATGGGATTGATCTGATCACAGCCTCATCAAGCCCTCTAGTCTCTAACCCTGGAGAGTAGGCCACTAGCTGGTCTTCATCGCGCCTATTTCGCGATAATGAGAATCGTCTGAGAAGATCAACACGGTGCCAATTGAGGCAGCATTTGATCACAAAGATGTAGTAGCTCACAAGCAAGAAAGCTGTGGCTATAATTCCTATTATGGCAATGGCTATAATGGGGAAACTTGTGTCTGAATGATGAACAGGAGCCCCAAAGATTGTCCTTCCTGGACTTGTTGTTGGAGGAAGAGCTTGTGACAAATGGATCAAGTAGCTTTTGCTTACAAGATCCATGAAAATGGAGGCTCCTATGACCAATAAAAACTACTCTGGTTTTCTTAGATCTTGAAACTTATACCAGAAAAATACGCAGACACATAGAAAATACACAAAACCATGAAACTCACAAGAAGTGAGATGAATTAATGCTTGATTAGCAAAGATCTATACTAGAGAGAAAACCCAGTTCGGACTGAGTTGGAGAAGGTAGATTTGGAAAGGTGGATATGAAATCAAATGGAAGAATGAGCTAGAAGCATTGAGAAGAGAGAAAAAGATGAAAAACCCAGGTGGGAATTAATGAAAGTGATGTTGAGATGGACATGAATGGGGCTTGAAATTCAATGAAAATGTGCTTTGCTCAACTTTTTCCTTTTATTGTCTGAGTCTTTGGCTCAGAGTGCTTACGTAGTTGGTGAATTTAGATAATTGCTTAAGTGTCAAGTGTCTCTCGATAATTGTACATTTTGTTATTAAATTTTGTACATTTTATTATTTAATTAATGTTACAGAAACGTATGGCAGTATGGTTATAATTTTTTTTTTCTTTGATATAAGCGACATTAAGGAGGGGTGAGTCGAAGACTGAATTGAACCCTCATGACATTTTAGTTGTGTGCGTGGGTGTGAGAAACCATCTCCTCTATAGTTTAAAGTATCGCTTGTAATAAATAAAAAAATTGAGTTTGAGGATAGGAAATTACTTATTAAATAAAAACCAAAAAGAAAAAGAAAGAAAAGAAGGGCAAAACCTTGACTTTCAACATTGTCATGCATAATCAATCATAATCAATCATAAAACAAAAAGTCTCACACCCACATGCAACCGACCATTGAATTTGTTGACCAGAGGCCTAGGCCGTTTGATTAAAGGGCAATCAAGTAGATTCCATGCATGTCTGAGTTTGCTTCCACACTGTATATGTTTCACCCGCTATACCAATTTGAAAAAGCTTTCTCCAAAAGCAGCATACGCTGAAAAAGCTTTTCTTTTTTTCTTTTTTTCTTTTTTTTTTTCTTTCAATAAAGATATTTTATCTTCTTCTTTACATGGAGAAGTCAAATCCGTGTACAGTAACAGTGAGACCAAGAAGACAAGGGGAAAAAAAAAAACACAGAACCGACACCTTCCATGCTTGCAGTGTTGACAAAACTGTAGCCTCTAGGCAAGAAAGAGGGAAGCAAGAGGCACTCTTTTTTCAAAAAGTGCTTCTTCATAGTCAAAGGTTGAGGCATCTGCCAGAGAAACTTGCGCGACTGTTCTCCCCAAATTTTCCATACAACGCCAACCTTTTGTTCACATCAAGATCACGATCACCTAACGTTTTAATTAGAAATGTAAAAGCCAAAAGCCAAAAGCCAAAAGCTACAAGCCTCTATATTTCATAGTAACGGCCAAATCTATGTGCATTTTGTCAACCAATCGTTCAAACAATTGGTGACTGTGTTGTATTTCATTGGCTGTTATTTTTAGAAGATTTTGCAGTTTAATTTGCACCTAATTTTACAGCATTTATTTTTAATGAAGTCCAAGCAGCATTTATTGCATTTGACGGATTGATTGGAAATATACCAACTTCCAACTTTCAAGCCCAGGGTGCACTCAACTCATCATGTACCTCGACATCACAAATCTGGAAGGGAGTGTTTTCATATTTTGAAGGAAAATTAAATGCTGGTTACCCATGCATCAAACTTGTATTTGTGTAGGGAGAGATACATAGATTCCAAGAGTGATTCTTTTCAACTCACAATATCACACCGTATCTAGTCATTTCGAAAACATTGTATTTAGTATTTTCATGATTTTTCGAACGAAAATGCAATTATATTGTCAAATTCAAATCCACTTTAAAAATCCTTTCGTTCTCACGGTTCTAATAATTTTATTTATTTCAGCATTCAAGATTATTTGCTTTTAACACGAAATATATTAACAGTAAAAGTTGAATATTGAGAAGGGCAATAAACTTATTACATGTTTTCATCTACACGAAGAAAAAGTGGGTGGTAAGTTTTCCTCAATGTGGAAAACAAAAATTCACTATACGTATTCGTTTGTTTCTCATATCATCCAATCGTTGTGAACCAATAATATCACCTCTTATTTCTTACGATCGAGGAGCTCATGTTGTTGTGCACTAAAATGTGTCAACTTGGAAGTTCTAGCTTGGTCTCGAAGGTTGCTGGCCTAGATTTGACCATCAAACAGTGTTGTACAACGTACGAATTAAACACATTACAAATACACAGTTGAACAGTTCATTTCCTACCTAAAAGCCTTATTAAGCGATCAAATGGTTGGCATACATGGTAGTTGGCAATTATTGGACCGTTGATGAAGCATACCTAAATTATAATTTACAATTCAAATAAATAAAAATAAAAGTGCCCCCAGTATATTGTGATATTTCAATAAATGTACATCGTACAAATTAAAAAATAAAATAAAACTGGCAAAAATAATTGAAATGAGTCACACATCAGTCAAAAGCACATGGAACTTGGGAGATGGCAATAGCTGTTGATAAAAGCAGTTTTTCTTGGAGAATGAGTAATAGACGTCAGGAGATGTGAAAAATCCTTAATGTTTTCAACAAGAAGTGTACCTTGCTTGTCTGTTGACTCAGCCTTCAGTCTCTTCCCTTCTGTTCAAATCAAATGGTTTCATAAATTTATTTGTCACAATTTACTTCATCCCGTAGGGTATGAATTATACAAAGGCTTAATTATGTACATACCTCATGTACTTTTAAATTTATCTCAGATTATCACCTGTATTTGCAAACGTCTCAAAGTACCCCTCAATCTTTTAAAAATCGTCTCACGTTACCCGTTCCGTCAATTTTTTTGACGTTCCGTTACGAACGTTGGGCCTCACTTCCTTTTTTCTTCTTTTTTTCTCCTCCTTCCCCCCATATTAGAGAACAGTAGCCCCTCCCCAACCGGCAGATTTTCAATCGCTTATTTACACTCCAAAACTCAGAAATTTCTCCTAACCAACACAACTAGCAGCAAAAACAGCTCGAGATATTGAAAAACCATATCTGGATCGAAGCAAATGGTGCTCGGAATCGCCCGAACGAGCGATGAAGATTTTGGGTAAAAACTGTCCAATTTCTTGCTTGTTCCGACAATCCAGACGGCGGTTGGCAGTGGCTGAGATGTGAGGCTGGTAGAGGACAACGTGCTGGTTCTTTTGATACCCATGTCATCGCTTGGGGTGGTCGGATGAGGAGATGAAGGCCCAAAAATTGTTCAGATGAACAGTAACAAAGTGGAGGAGCTGTTGTTCTAGAATGGGGAGGGGCTGCTGTTCTTGAACAGTAACAAAAACTTAACAGAAACGTCAAAAAAACTGACGGAACGAGTAACGTGAAACGGTTTTTAAAAGGTTGGGGGTACTTGGAGACGTTTGCAAACACATGTGGTAATCTGAGATAAATTTGAAAGCACAAGGGGCATGTACATAATTAAGCCTTATACAAATAATTTATCGTTTAACTCGCATACATTTTTAGCAATTAAAAAAAAACAACAATGGCTTAAGGTGTTGTAATACTACTTGTTCAAGCAAATAGGCATGTCATCTATGATTAAATGGATGTCCCTCTGTCCAGTTGTATTTAACTTATTTTAATAGTTCTAGAAGGATCGATTATTTTGGTATCTTCTCTTTGTTATTAGAATTACATGTAGGATGTAGGAATTGTTCGCATCTCATTTCTCGTAGATTAGATTAATTTAGAAATTATTGATTGTATTAAAAATAGAAACTATATATGTAGGAATTAATTTTTTTGGTACAGGAATTAGTAAGAAGTTAAAAACCGTTTTTTGGTCGAAAGAAGCTAAAAAGTTAGGGATAGAAAAACGTACATAAAACGTTGAAATTTGGTGATACATTTTTCTTCCTTATACTTCGTTCGGCTTTTACTTATACTCTTGTCCTACACAAAGAAGAAGAAAAAGAAACATTGTCCTGTGGGTTTTGTTAGGGGGGAAAAAGAAAAGGAAGAAGAAGAAGAAAATTGGTAAATTAACTTGGTGTATGATATATGACATATGAGTTTTCTATCACATGGGTGCAATCACGTGACTGCACGAGGCTCTGTAGTTTTTTCTTACATTTCCACACAAAGGCATTTACTCAAATACAAAAACAAAAACAAAAACAAAAACAAAACAAAAGATTAAACCCTATGTTGTGCACGTGTCAACACGTGCTTTGGAACCGTCCAATAAAAAAATAGACAAAATTAAGCATCTTCTGGTGTGAAAATCTTGGTGTAGTTTTATTTGAATATTTATTTATTTTGGATGAACTTGAACTGCATATATAAACAGAGCAGGCTTAAATTAATTATTGAAATAGATTGACTGACTTTGTTAATTACAATAGTACATCTCTCAGCAGCATAATCCTGGTCAAATGTTGACAAGATTCATTCAGCATGTTCCTTCTCCAGTGAAAACTTATATTTATAGGTTTACTTTGTATTTTTTTTATTTTTTTGGGATGAATTGCGTAGACTTGAATTGTTGAACTGATTGACTAACTTTGTTAATTACAATATCTAGGAGATTCTTCTTGGTTATTTGTAATTAACTAACAATCATCTAGTGTAATAAGAGGGGCTTTGACTAATTATAGTCTAGAGTTCTGATTTTGGTGAGCAAATTTGTTGAGTCAGAGTCAAGCATGTTGTCTTCCCATTATAATTCTTAGTTTTATCAATAAAGTTTTTCTCGTTCCATCGAAGTTCTCTAAAATAATGATAATAAGAGAGGCTTTGACTAATCATAGTATAGACTTCTGATTTTGGTGAGCAAATTTGTATGTATATGAATTACCAAAACAACTACTTTTATAGTATAATTAGTATGCATTGAAATAATAATTGGAGTTTTCAAAAATGAACTCATATGATTAATAGAATGAGGTTCATTAATTATCACAAGCTTATTCTACAAAAACCAATTATTGAGAGGGAAAGGGGTATGCAAAAAGATAGATAACTGTGACATTGTTTTGTTCGTTTTCTGTTGGTAGTTGGCACCACATTCCCTTGTCTTCGTATAATTTTTGTGGGTCAATGAAAGTTGTTTTTGTATCCTAAGTCTTGGGTAGATCTGAGTTCAGCCCAATTTTAACACTTGGGCATCCTGGAAACGAAGCCCAAAATAAAGCCCAGATCCACAACTATAGAAAATCACAATGGACTTTAGCTTCCAATGTTGGGGTAATAAGCTGCAGATTCCATAGTGGGGCAAAATAGCAACAGTGAAACTTACATATATTGGGTTGATATAATAGTTGTGTTTACAACACTTGTCTAGTTCGATCAAAAAAAAAAACACTTGTCTAGTGATTAGGTTGAGTGTTGTGTACTCGTTAACAAGATCTAGCACAATGGAAAATAGTTTTGACTTGCAAACCAATGATTTCAGGTTCTAAACCCTGAATTGCCAGTTTTTCTTTCTAGATGCCTAAGTGAAGGGAAAATTGGGTGCAGGGATTTCTAAAATCCCATAAAGCTATGAAAGAACAAATCATATAGTCTATGCATATCATATATGAAATCAAATAAAGCGGAAATAAGAAAATAACTAGAGATTCATACTAGTCTCTACTTAGGTCCCAATCTTAATAGGTCTATGAAAGTTTGCACCATTGACACCAATATCCCATAAAGAGAAGGTAGAAAGTGAGGTTACCTTTGGAATGTATCTTGAATCCCAAAATGGTATTCAAGTAGAGGGAGTTGTCCCTTAATTGTTGATTCTCCACATTAGTCTCCAAATAGGCACAAAAGAGGTTATGCCTCCCCAAAGTATCTATACCAATGTAGAATGAGAATGAGATAATAAGGAACCAAGAGAAGAAAATGGGTGCTAGCCTTTTCTTCTCTATGGTGGCCGGCCAAGCGAGACTAGGGAGGATGTCTTCCTCTCTTCCTAAATGCCTAACTTGAAACCCTAAGGAGGTTTGATGCTATGTATATAAATATATAGAGACATTTTGTAACACATGTGTCCCAGAAAACCCCCATATAGCACACCCTCCCTCTTTTTGGCATTTTTGGACTACTTTGGTCCACCACATTAATCCCTTAGAGCACTTTCACCCTTATGGGCAAGAGCAAGGGCAATTACTATTCACTTTAATTTATTTTCTATTTTTATACTTAAACTTTAAAATTAATTTTATGATTTAAACTTTATAGAAAAAAAATTCAGAATTTTTTGGTTTTTTTTTTCAATTTTTATTACATAAAAAATGGCAGTCGTTGGATTGCAGTGAAAAATTTGATCAGATGCTCTGGGTGCTGCCACGTGTCTTGTAGCAATGGAAAACAAACCAGGCAACAGCATGGGTTGGTTCTACCTTTGGGCTTGCCCAAGTTGGTGGCCCCATGTCTTACTCAGGATGCTTTGTGCTCTCCAAAGTCATCTAGTGGGCCAAGGGCCCCTCTTGCTCGGGCCAAACTGCTGCGGTGAACTTGCTCTTAATGTGTCATATTGTGCCTAAATCCATAAGGTCCATTCTTATAAATATTTAAGTTATATAGGACCAAAATTAAATTCCATAACTTTAATTAATTCATTTAAGCTAATCTAATTTGTTTGATTTGATGATTTAATCATTATCTTGTCTAACAAATATTGGTCATAGTCAAGCATTGGTCCCAGACTGCTTTCCATTCTGATCTTTATTCATTGACTTCTAACATTAAGACCGGATTAAGTCGGCCAGTTCGATCCAATTCATTGTTGAAATTCAAAAAAATAAAAGAAAAAATCGAACTAAACTACGTAAGCCGGTCCTGTTCGGTCAGTTTGGTTAGGTTTTCGTTATAAATGCCCTTCTAATAAAAGGTGTACACTCCTAAATACACAAAAAAAGGAGTGTACGGACCACAATTATTATGTCTACTAGACTGGATTTTGTCATTTGCCTATTGGGCCCTCATAAGTTATGATTGATTTTGCCATCCAATTACCCCAACCCTAAATGTCCCAAACATTCTATTCTTACATTTTCTTTTTCTGATGGAAAAGCAAAATCAAAGCCAGTCAGATACAAAAGACTTTAGTACTATATATGTAGCCCTTTAATAACATAATTTCTCTTTCTCTTTTCCTAACAGTGCACACTCACTCAGTACCATATACGTTGTCCAAGTGCTGATCATAATCTGAGTGGAAACAACAGTAAAGCTAGATGAAGAATTCGTCAAAAGCAAACACCTAGAGATATTCTACAAATGCTTTTTTCTTTCGAGTAATAAAATTTCTCCCGTGAGCTGCGTGCGGTTCACAAAAAGAAATATGAAAAAGATGCGAAGATAATTTTCCTGCTGCAAAGTCACATTTTAATTAAACCTCTGTTTTTTTTTCTTCTGGTCATAAGTGTAGGATATTAAATACACAGAAAATTTGGCAGGCGAATAGCCACACAAACAGACAAACAAAAAGCCTCAAGCGAATTCAGAAACATCACGATTGAAATCTAAAATTGCATGCTGATGAATTGAAAACGAAGGGCGGATGGCTTCTGTCTTTTTGTGCCAACGTGTGCAGTCACAAGCGTTGTGTGTCTTCAGTGTTGCTTCGAGAGCACGACGTAATATTTAAATGGCCATCGGACCGATAAGATGCTTTTCTTTGCATGGCTAATTAACCTAGCTATTTGGTCCTCTTCTTCTCGCTACCCTTAATGGAATTTGGACAGAAATTCTGATGCTACACTGAGAAAGCATCAAATCCAAAACGCAAAAATAGGAATTTGGAGAACTTTGCATTGAATTCAATGTTTGGCAAAGCACCAGCGCCAATATTTAATATGAATGGCAAATCTAATCCCGGCCAACAAATCTAAACCCCCAAAAATCAAATATTGACTCAATCCTTTTTAACTAATGAAACTATACCAAAAGAATATAGAAAATTAAAATTATGACTTATTTGGAAATGCATAAGCACTCCTATTCATAACTACTTTTTTAGAGGCGCTTCTATTAGAAGAATGTCAAAAAAATTATTTAAACTACAAGTGAGCAATTGGAAGTGATTTGGAGAAGCATTGAGAAGTGATTCCTAAAGAAGCACATGCCTCTTTAAAAAATGCTTTGTGGTCCATAAACACTTATAAGTTTTTCTATCAAACTCTATTAGAAGTGTTTTTTATTATCAAAGAATTCCCAAACATACCCTTAATTTACATCATGTACATCGTTTCTTTATAGGGATATTGTTGCTTGCACACCCAAAAAAAAGCCACTTGCATTGCATAAATGCACGGAGAAGTACATCAAACTATCATATCCTTGCATGAATTCTTTTTTTAGTGCCTTTAGTGGACATTTCTAAATAATAAGCTCTAGTTGTGGTAGAACATGACAAAATGATACTCAAGTTGGACCTAAGTCAAATACCTCACCATTACATCACCATACTCATTTACCAAGTGTTTCATATGTGTGATATATATTGAAGCACCCATAGGGCAGTCCTGGAGCGGTGTAAGTGGTGCCACCGCATAGGGCCCTCGAATTTTGTTTTCTTTGTATTATACATTATTAATATTATAACGATTGTATATATACTCTAACGTGCTACATATTGACAGAAAAGCATTTGTAACGGGGCTAGCTTTCTAGCTCGTGTGGCCCGGCTTTGAGTCTCATTGAAGCCATATATTTTTCTTAAAATTTGATTTTTGATTTTCATTACATGCTAATTTATGATGAATTTTAGTCATAAAAAAAATTATTTTTATGACATTAGGTTATGAATTTTTTTAAAAAGTAATTTCTTATTTAAGTTTCGCACACGGCTCTCTCTACTTTTCTTTTGGGATGTATACCGACCTATATTTCCCCTTTGCCCTTTCTTGTCCTAATCGCATTATTAAGGTTTTGATGAATGAAACAACCACAAACAAAACCAAAAGTTTGAGAAAACGAAAAAGGACTCCTTGACCCTAAAGCCATCACCTTGACCATCCCGATACATTGGATTCATTGCTAATATATGCATGGTCATTGTGGAAGCTTCCGTCAACACGTGGGAACAATTTCTCAGCCAGAATGTTTGACACGTGGCTATTTGTGGCCCCTCCTTAAATTTCATAATAATAGTCTACATGTGCCTTTTTGAATTCATATAAAATGCTGTTGCCCAACACTTAGTTTGGCCATGCAAAACTACATCATATATGGACTCCAGAGGAAAGGTCATGGAAGAGAAGGAAGGCGGAGAGGTTCGATACCGGGGCGTGCGGAAGCGGCCGTGGGGCAAGTATGCCGCGGAGATTCGCGACTCGAACAGGCATGGCGCCCGGGTTTGGCTTGGGACTTTTAACACGGCTGAAGAGGCAGCTAGAGCTTATGATCGAGCTGCTTATGCCATGAGGGGTGGCTTGGCTATTTTGAATTTTCCTACTGAGTACCCAGCAAGTGGTGGCTCTTCCTCTTCATCGTCTTCGGCTAATTTTTCATCTTCAGTGGCTGGGACTATCCAGGAGAGAGGTCGTGGGGAGCATGGAAATGAAGTTCTTGAGTTAGAGTACTTGGATGATAAGTTGCTAGAGGAACTGCTTGATTGTGATCACCAAAAGAAGAACAAAAAATAGTGAGGTTGGTATCCCTTTTTGGCGTAATAAGCAGCTATCCACCGTCTATTTCTGCAAGGCACATCGCAAGGCCAATGATGCTCTTATCTTTTTCTTGTTGATATGTAACTAGATTCTGATCATCACCTTTTGCATGCGTTTGTTTTTTCAATGAAGAATCTGGCAAAAGTGTTGTGTGTTGTTAAGCTTTTTAAGATATGGTAATTTTCATTGTACAAAAGTATGATATGCGCACAACGCAGAAAATACATTGTGAGTAGTTGTATGTATGCAGGGTTGGTAATTTTTGACACTGACTCCAATTTAATAAGAAGTTGAGGATGATTACTGGATTTGACACAATTCACTAATACGCATAATAGAGATATATCAAGTTATTGACTCTGCTTTACTTGTTTTGTATGATGAAAAGTAATGATTTGCTCATTTGCTTTTATACATCACATTATAAGTCTCATAAAATAGGATTACTTTCATGGTTTTTTCTAGATTGACTTTATGAAATGTTTAGCTTTAGACTTTTAGTCCACAATTTACGAAATTCAACTTGAATATGACACAAAAATGAGTTAAGTTACGTACTATCGAACTATGTGCAATGATAATTACATAAATCATGAAAAGGTTGACAAGTATTCGACACGAGTTTTTGAAGAATGTTAAAGTTTCACCCATGGACGGAACTACACTATGGCTAGAGTAGGCTCTAGCCTAGTGCAAAGGTTTGGAAAAAAGAAATTTAATACTAATTTTTAGGCACTACACATCATTTTACAAAAATTAACCCAATCCATCCAAGCAAAAATTAGCATGTCCTATCCAAACAGATTCCATCACAAAACCAATACAGTTAGAGTAATGTTCTCTTACCAAATTTGTAATATATACACTCATTTTAACTAGGGTAGTACCTACAAATATGAAGGCACCTACCTATTATATCTTTCAAGGAGTATATATATGTATGTAATTAAGTGTCTAAAATTAAAATTTACAATTATAACAAGGTTCAACAATTGTTAATTAAGTTATAATAGTCCATTTTTTGAATTTGTGGCTGAAAATGTTATATAAGTTATAACAAGGTTCAACAATTGTTAATTATATAATAGTCCACTTTAGTGATCTCGAGGCGCACCACAAATATACATATATTTATAAAAACCCAGAAAACGTAGCCGCCAGTCCTTTCATTTGGAATGTGGCCAACTTTATTTTTCGCTGCATAATGTCTTTTTATTTTGTCGCAATCAAGCGAAAAAGTACAATTAATTAAGAAAAAAGTAACAAAAATACAAAAAGAAAAGGCAAAGTTGAAAGATTCCAAGCAAAGAAATGTAAGGTGTGGTCAAAAGCTACACACTAATTCTTGGGTTTTACCAGAAAACCTACAGATTGGCTCTTGCACAGCAGTCTGTTGTTTCTGTTAGGCGTTTTTTTCGGTTGCAAAATTCCATGTTAGGCCTCACCAAGTTTCGGAGGCCATGACTTGTGCTGGGGTTTAAGAGCACTTGTGAATTGAACTGGTTGCAAGCTAGTATTGGGCTCAGTTATTGAATACATAAAGACCTCAACTGAGGCCTGCTACCTGGTCTCTGTTTTGTTGAAAAAGTTGTGCCTTCAAAATTTCAAATGTCATGAACCGCACCGCAGTTGTTTTTAATTTTTTATTTTTAATACAAGTGATAGTCTAAATTATAAGGAGACAAGAGTTTCTCACCTACGAATTATTATGACTCTTTTCCAATGGTTAGACTCCGTTTGCGTTGTTGAATGAAAAATAATAATAATAATTTGCTCGAGCCATCCTGAAGACGAGTTTTGGTTAAAGGTGGACTTCAAACTCAAAGACTACAAATCTAATAACAGAGATATGGAAAACGAAATTTATTTCCTTCTTTGCAATTGTTCCTCTCATGTTAAACACAAAACATGCATGCTCATTCATTCTCTCTCCAATCTTGACCATTTTTCATTTGTTGGGCTTTTATTTGTGGTGGTGGTGTTATTCGAATTTGTTCTCTCCTGCTTGCCTGGACTTGTTTGTGTCAATTGTCAACTACTAGTACTACGAATCCCTGCATTACTTTGACAAGTAAAGTACTTGTGTTCGGGACAAATTTGTCTGTCGTCAGCAGTGGTATGTATATATATTCTTAACCTTTATATCCTTGTCCAAATTGCTCTTCTAAATTAATCATTTCTTTCTTGGGTTGGGACTAATCCTGGTTTCATCTTAAATTCTTAATGGATGAGAAAAGAATTTCATGAAACAAAGATTCTCTGTTTGTGTTTGGAAACAAGGTTCTCTATTTTCCTGTTGCGTGATTCTAAAGTTTGTCAGTGGTAAATATGACTAAGCAAGTCCTGTATTGTCTCTTCTTCAATCTTTATTTTGCCTTCACCAAGGAGACCAAAATATAATCTAGATAGTGATCCAACTTTCTCCTTTTTTCAGGATTTTCAAAAATCCGGAGATGGTTTTTTGTACTTTTCAAGCACCTCTTGCACTTTTCTAGCGAAGTCTAAATAACAATTTTTAAATTTGTTTTATCAAAGATTAACACCCCATTGGTAGTATTATAATTTTTGAAAGGATTCATTTTCCACAACAAAAAGAAATAAAAAATAAAATTATGAGTATTCTCTATTGAGAATGCCCTCAATATAACAAAAGTAAGAATTTCAGTATCGTCGTCATAGCCCATATTGCAATAGTGGTATTTATATTTCTAATATGGGAAGATATCTCGAATTATTTTTTTATGTTAGAAGCCGTCTCAAGTTTGAATCTCCTTTTCATGTTGATAATAACAACATATTATTAGAGATACCATACACATACATGTGCATATGTGTATATCATACCACGTCATGACTAAAACAAATTATGACATGAAAAAATGTGCTTGCTAAACTATGGTTGAACAACATATATTATTTTATAGAAGGGAAATGTGTTCAACTCACTAAACAACAAGGGAAGAAAAAGGTTACACAAACACAAATCAATTTCACTTCCATTTGCTTTTCTCCTCTTGAGAATCAAGAAGGTCCTCCAACACCTGGTCATCCAAATACTCAATCTCAAAGACTTGCCGTCCTTGTCCAGTAGATGAACTTCCACCAGGAGCAGCAGCAGCAGCAGCAGAAGAAGAAGAAGACGATGAAGAAGAAGAAGAAGAAAATGATGATGAGAATCTAGGAGGATGAGGAGGAGAGCCCATAACTTGAGAATAATACTCATTTGGAAAGTTGAGTATGGCAAGATGACCCCTTAAATTAAAAGCAGCTCTGTCATAAGCCCTTGCAGCTTCTTCAGCCGTATCAAATGTACCAAGCCACAGACGAGCACCTTGCCTTGAAGGGTCTCTTATCTCAGAAGCAAACTTCCCCCATGGCCTCCTTCGGACTCCCCGATAACGCACTTCTTCGCTTCCCTTCTCTTCCATTCCTTGCTTCTGTAGATCCTTTCCTCTACGAGGGTCTTCCATATTTTCTAGCTTGATTCTTCGAATAATTTCAGGAGGTCGTTAATTTTGACAAGCCTTTCTGTTTTTGGTTTAAAATATGGTGGCATATAATGTATCTCATTGATGTATTTATAGGTGTTTGATTTTGGGACAAATGGGGTCATATCACATATGACTTATAGAATTACGTACTGTGATTGTGTGAGTCCACATGAACGTGGATTGACCAAGCGTAAATGGATGTTTCTTGGAAGGTTCTTCATCTTCATGTATATTAATTATTATCATCTAGGGCTATAATAGAGGTGCAAAAATTCGATTCTTCGACTCCTTCTATGATAAAATTCAAAAAGGGTTTGTAAATCTCTTTTCTTGATAGGCATTTTCTTTCAAATGGGCTTCGAATTCTATCTTTTTATGTTCATATTATGTGAGAATAATAGATTGTGTTGGTTGGTACTAGTTTTTTTCTTTCTTTCACTGAACCATTGAACTGTATTGTCACTTTACACAGAATATGTAGAGATTGATTCCCATATCACAAAGATTGGAGGAATTGGACCCATAGAATATGAATGCGTAAGTGATTTCATCCTAATAACTAAGAATATTACAAGCATGCATTAGCCATACAATTTTGGTTGAAGGCAAAAATAGGAAACTCAGAAAAAGCAAGATAAGGTCTCAAGGGGTATAATTTCCTGTTTGGTGGAAAAGTCGACTGCTATATATATATATTGTCCCCTTGCACTACTCCCTCGTAATATGCTTTGATCATTGTAGGGATTTCAGATATGAGATTTTTCAAATCATATCAAATTATTCAAATGTTATTTTGTTTGATATGAAGCATATAGAATATGAAAATATTTTTGCTCATTACTTTAACCCAATGTGTACTCTCACCATCATTCTCAACACTTGACATATCTTCATATACATAACCATAATTAACTCTTTGCTTTGTATTTGTGGAACCATGGTTATGCCCATGTACACATGTCAAGTGTTGAGAAATGTGATGATGGTACACATTAGGTTAAAATAGTGAGCAAGAATGTTTCGTATAGAATAGCGTTCATGTGTTACCGACTCATTTTGGCTCACTCCACACTATTATTCTTTGATCAAAGTCATTCCATGATCATGGTTGCAAATATACACTCAAATTGAAAAGACATAAATTTCGACACAACGATATTTTAAATTACTCTAATGTATGTGGAGGGGAACAAACTTAGATACAAGGGGGCGAGTACATTGCCTTGGCCAATGGCCATAACCCACACCTGCTCAAGTTGAAAATCTTTAATTATTTGTGAATATTTTCATTATGTATCATAATGTGTTCATCTATTTATTTTATCACAATTAAAATTACTAAATGATTTTCATTTTGAATTTTTTTATAGAAATGATCTTTCAATGAGTACCTAAAATTGAACGGTTCAAATCATATAATATATTATGGAGTGGACCTGGCAAATAATTAATGTAATGTTGTCAATCAATATGGTCATAAAATGTGATTCCTTTACCTTTATTTGTAAAACGTGCTACTATTTCCACTATTTATCCTATTTTCGCACCCACCTTATCTTTCCAACTACCATGTAAATTTGAAAAAACACAATCCTATCTTTCCACTCATCATTATTCCTAAAATACCCTTAATTATTATTTCAAGCAAATTCTCTTTGCTAATCATTAGTAGTTGAGATATTGAGAGGATCAAGTTGTGTTTGATGGACTGGATAAATGCTTTAGCAATTGAGGAGTCGTATGCTTTCTTCTTCTTTATTTTTTCTTTTAGTCAAATGATAGAATTGGTGGGTTACATGAGTTGAGGTTTCTTTTCCCCAAGTCCTTAGTCATTTTACAAAGAGGAAAGTTTGTCTTTAAAATTTTAAAAATAAAATAGGTAAAAAAATAGGACATGGGGTGGAAATAACAATATTCTTTATAAAACAAAACATAAAAAAGAGAATATATAAGAATAATGATCTTAAGTACATCATATATTCTTCTGTCCAAACAATCGAAAAATTCCTAAAGTATTAAACAGTGGCATAGGATTAAAGTAAAAATTCAGACCCTCCCTCTTCCAAAAATAAAACCAAGACACTCTCGTCGTTTAAAAAACATGTTCTCAAATACCACTATAGTAATACTGATATTCAAGAGCATTTCTCTTGAAAGATGGCAAATCAAATAACCTTTTTTTCTTCTTTTCCAAATGGGATAAAATATAAGTTTTGGTAAACCTTGAAGACAAATTATATGTCATTAACTACCAAACCAATAACTCCATAAAAAAGAAAGTGAAAATCAAAGGGCCCGTTTGATAATCATTTCAATTTTAGTTTTTAGTTTTCATTTTTCATTTTTTGTGCTAGAGCATAGAGGAAAAAGAGGGAGAATGGAAGTGAGAATGAGAGTGAAGATGCGATTGAGAGGGAATATGAGAGAGGAGGATGCGAGGAAGGATTAACAAAAGTGAAAATAAAAACTAAAAACTGAAATCTATTTGAAATTGTTTTCACTTTCAAGTTTTTATTTTCACTTTTATTACTACTCCCTCCCATCCTCCCCTCTTATCCTCTCTCTCAATCTCATCCTTACTCCCATTCTCACTCTCATTTTCCTCTTTACTCTAGCACAAAAAATGAAAAATAAAAACTAAAATTGAAATGGTTATCAAATGGGGTCTAAGTTACCTAACCTACTAATTTTTTTTTTCTTTCCAAAACCTAACCTAATAAATTTCTTGGATGTAAAAAAATTAGGCGCTATATCTATCAATTGGAAAACAAGAAGTCGATGAACATTGAGGACTCCTGCCCCAAGCATTTTGTGATCACTGATTGGGTCGTTAAAAACAGTGGGACATACATAACCAATGGGCTGTGCCCGCTTGGAAAGTGAATCCCAAAAAGACTTTGTTATTTGTCTTTAAATATTTGTTTTGGTTACAAAGAAGGCTTGCTTATTTATTTATTTATTATTTATTTTATCTTGCTCTCGAAGTGTGGGCAAAAGAGGAAGAATTGAGGGTTTCTTTTGTTTCATGATTAGAGAAACGTTATTCTATACTAATGGGAATTGTCAAAGCTTGCATACGTTAGGCCATACGCACAAGGGAACATGATGAGCTCCGGCAGATTAGTTTTTTTCATAGGTTCATCCAGGACAGAATCTTTATAGGATCAGAAGCTATAGAAAATGGTCCAAATCGTCTAAACGAAAGCTTTGACATTGCCATGATATTCAAAAGGAGCTCCTCACTAACTCCAATTTAGTATTAATTTAAAAAACAAAAAGGTAAGCAAGGAACTAAGAAACAAAACCAAAAAATAATAATAATTAAAGCAAAGAAAACTGAGAGAATTTGGTTTGAATGTCCTAGAACATGGAGACCAGATCATCCCTAGCTACTTTAAACTGTTAATGAAGCTTTGTATTCAGGCAGATTTAGTCTTGGATCAATTTAAAAAGATGAGGGAATTGCATTCTTATTTGCCAACAACTTTCCAATTTTATTAATTACAACACCTTAATCATGGTTGTTTGACCCTCTAAATTCTAATCCTTTGAATATTTTAGCATGCACTTTTTTCAAATGTTAGATATATGTGGTTGTTGTTTGAAAATGAAAACATTATCAAGCGAAAACTTAGCACAAAGAGCCAAAATTTGTAAGCATCTTGAATGGAAAATAATCTTGAAAAGATGCATAGCTTTATGGGCATCTACGCCTTTTTAACAAAGAGTGGAGAAACCGCGTGAACCTAATTCTCATAAAAAAAAAAAAAAACAGTTTCAGAATCTAAATCTCTCAAATGAAAATTGGGGATAGCGGGAATAGCGGTGTTTTGTCGAGGTATCATAGAATGTAAAAAACTTTTGACAATGTCAAGATATAAACCTTGTGAACCTAAGAGATTTATAAACCTTTTAACAATGCCAAGGTATCATAGAATGCAAAAAAACTTACTTGTAACGGAGGTAGCGGTGTTTTGCTATCCCTGACCAATAATACAATGACATGTAGCAAATTATCTTACGTGTCATTGCATTATTAACGTGGAATATCAAAACACCGTTATTTCCCGTTGCATAAGAGTTTTTCTCCATAAAATGAAGCTACGAGTTGAGCATGGATTGGATGCTCTAAAATACATTTTATGCTCGCATTGGCCCATCAATAATGCATTAGGTGCTGGGTTTATCATTTGAAAGTCAATTTGTTACACAAGTGGAACTCTCTAGATAACACAATTTGAAGCCCATTCCAAATTGCAACAGTGTTTTTAGTTGTACCCAAATTTGTTCTTTAAAAAAAGGTCCTCATTTTGGGAGGAAAATCCCCTCTTAAGGCCTTAACTTGGTTTGCAAATGCTAAGGACAGATTTCAGGCCCATTTTAGTTGACCCAGGTAGATCTCTTCAGGTTTAAAGAATCATAATGAGATGGAACGAAATGAAAATGCATGTTCGAATCTTCCCGTTCTTAATATCGTTTGTACAAATAAAATAACATAATATACAAATAATATCCTTTAATGAATCGAAATATTGTAGCCAAAAACCTTTGGTGGTGTTAATACACCTGGAGGCGGCGATAAGATCCTCAATTCACAATCTAATTGATAATTATCAACTAATTTAGGTAGATTTTTTAGCAATCAACTATACAACAAATTTTCATATATTTTGTTACTGATGAATCAAATCGTGCTCGAGTGAGCATTTGTCTCTTACAAGGATGATAAAGACGTACTACTTTGGATGAGATCCACATAGAAAGAAGAAAAAGCTCCGCCAGTCAAATTCAATCACCAAAATGCAGATGCATTGAGCCTAGCCATAAAAATCCCAATGCTACCAACAAAAAAAATATATATTTTGGAGGCTGATTAATGAAATGAAGCCCCTTTTGCAGTCCTAGGCATGCATGTTTATAATGTGAACTGGGGTTGAGGTCGTAAAATGATGAGTGAGAGTTTGCTGTGGGAGTGAAAAACTCATGGGGACCCAGATGACCTAACAACTCATTACCTGAGCACCTAGATTTGACTACATT